TTTAGGCGCTGAATTTCCATGGCGCCACAGCTGTTTTCACCAAATCTGCTGAAACTTCGTCATTTGGGGTTATTTGGGCCGAGCGTGCCGCACTGGACCATCGAACGAGACCAGGGTCTACGTTCATGCCCGAAAGGATTCCTTTTTCGAGAACTGTAACTTTCCTGAGTCCACGGTGTTCGCACTGCCCTATTTCTGGCTGCGCGACATGGGCAAGGTGAAGGACAAGGAAATCAACGAGCCCAATGTGCCACACCAGTCCCCACCCACCGCTTCACACTTCAGTCCGCCCGCGCACGCCCCCGCCGGCTCCACTCTCCCCGCGGCCGAACCGCCCTGTGGCCGTCCCGCACTCTCACGCGGGAACCCGCGTCCATCGAAACCACGCCGTCCTCCCGTCCGCTCGCGCAGATGCGAACTGCCCGGAACCCCTGCCCCGTATCCCACACACCGCCACACAACACAACCATCAGGCAAAGCGCAAAACAAAGAACGAAGTTAAGAACCCATTCAAATAAATTAAGAAACAGTACTCCGACGATGAAATGTCCTTTTCGTAAAATGTAATGTGTACCAAAAATGTTAACAATCTGAAATGGAATGGCCAAATTTTCCGTTTTTAATGATGCACGCTTAACTAACCTTAACCGAGCTTTATTTAGTGGAATTTGGAATTTAAGTTGAGAGACTGTCATAAAGAAAGTAGTGTACCCAGAAACCGGAGAGAAATAGTTTGGAGTCGGCCCAAACACATGAACAGCTAATCGGCTTTTGTATGACAGGATTACTTCACCTCAATGGCATGCTCGAATAATTACTATACAATTTATTCAACATCTTAAGCATTTTTAGAAAATGCGGCTTCAACAGCACAAACTGCTACTGCTTCGACACACCACTGAAGAAATGTATTATTTTATAAGGGAATAATTGTTCACAATAAAATGCGCATGCAAAAGAAGGCACATCTCTAGTACAACGTGAAACTCAACCGCTTCTCGAAGAAACAGCTTAGCTAGAGTAGCCCCAAGCAACATTTAGCACAACCTCGTATAAGACGCACAAACAATGATAGATGAACAGCAGTGAATGAGAAAGCCAAACCATAAAACAATGAACATAACAGAAAGGGAGAAAAGGAATAGTTAACCATCGTATGCAACAAAAAGAAAAACAGGTTCCTCGTAATAAAGCGCTTTTCACAGGGCATATGAGGGGAACCCTTCAGGTACAAAATCAACTAGTAGCATAATAAAACTAAAGCAGACGAGAGTCACTCTTGATTACAAGATATTTAGAGCCACGGATAGTTCAGAATAAATGTTTAAGACATACAATCAGTTATTTCTAAGTCTCCTAAAGGGATCACGAATGGCGTTAAAGTGCTGGCAAGCAATAATGACGTGCGCGAGGTCGCAACGCGTGCTGACGGAAATGACGATGGTGGTAAATGAACTCAGCTCACCCTGGTCTGCAACAAATAGCTCACGAATGTAGGATTAGGGAAGGCGAGGATGACCTGAGCTGGCTATGGACATAGACACTCTGAGAAAGGATTTTCTCCAAAAGACACATGGAAGAATACCTCAATATGAGCCAGTGCGTCTGAGACAAATTAAAACTCAGTTGAAAGTTCCGTCAACACCCGTCGCGATAGCACAACAGTGAGTACTATACTCGATATCCGAAGTTGGGGTAGGTGTGTCACCGGAAGTGACGTGCACTTGATAGAAGTTGCGTGGATAAGCTGCTTCCAGCATACATCGCTGGATATCAGCAAAGCATGCTGGAAACAGCTTATCCACGCAACTTCTATCAAGTGCACGTCACTTCCGGTGACACACCTACCCCAACTTTCGGATATCGAGTATATACTTCGATATTC